ATATATGGCCGCCGGCCGGGCGCCTATGTGGTGCTAGCCTAGGGCGCTTCCGACATTATATCCGCCTCTGAGTTTACGGGATGAATATACTTACATGATTATGTTTATATTGAGCCCTTAGAGCGTGAGTCTTAATCACACGCGTCCGGTTTTTAACATTTAATTTTATTTCCAGGTGTAGCCGGTATGCGGCGATCAGAAGCGATACCTAGCGACGATAATTATTACTACATCTTAGTCCGCCAGCAGTACTACTGGCAGCATGCTTACGAAAATTGCCTAAAAATGAACGGAACCCTCGCCAGTATTGACAGTCACGACATTTTGATTCAATTGTTGCTTGTTATGGGTGAAAATAAAGACGAGCGTAAGTATAGACAACGAATTATGTAATTAGCGCCATCTATCATCAAGTAGCTTAAGCAAATATTCGGTAAAATTTACCATATTCGTTAAATTTTAATTTACAATTTAATTGTAACGAATTTGAATTTAGCTTTCTTTCTTTTATGTTAACTATACGTGAGTTGTAAATCAGTAAATATTTACTAAATAACCACAATGACCACCTCTATCCATCTCTTCTGGCAATATGTATCGACATAATCCACTTAGTCTGCGTGATAGACCATGAGTCCCTGACAATGTATGCAGAGTCCCAAGAGCAACGAGCTATTCGGACCACGTCAAGCAAAAAAAGTTGTGAAGGCAGTAATTCAGGGCCAGCCCATCGCCTACACCATATCCCATTAGTTGCCTTTTGCGTCATGCTAGGCAAATAGCAGTAGCACAGATGGCACATTATTTTTAACGAATTTCAAAAAAATAAGATTCTCAATTCGACTGTATATTCCTTTTTAGAGTTCCGTACCCAAAGGGTGACCAACGGGAGCCTATTACTAAGCCTCCGCTGTCCGTTCGTCGTCTGTCCGTCGTCCGTCTGACTGTTTGTCAGCGCAGGCTGTATCTCATGATCCGTAATAGGTAGGCAGGTGAAAAGTTCACAGAATGTGTATTTCTGTTGCCGCTTTTACAGCAAATATAAAGAAGAAGTACAATAATTAAATAATAAAGGAGGCTACCCTACTAGAAACGTGTGCGATGGTACGGAACCCTTCATGCGCGAGTCCGACTCGCACTTGGCCGGTTTTTTTATTTAAATATAAATTATAATAATTATAATTAATATAAATTTACCATCAGGTGGACTATGTGCTCTTTCATCACCCTTATCCCAATAAAAAAATATCTGACACACTATTCTCGCTTCCTTCACATCTACATGCTCGTCGGTTTATGGTACACTTAATTTAACGCATCTTTAATACATCTCCAATGTGGTCGATAAACTTTTATCTAGGTCTATGGGCCAAAGTATCCATTTACCATCAGCACAGAATAAATAATAGTACCATCAGGTGGACTGTGGGCTCGTTGTCCACTGGACTATGTGCCCGTTTGTAACCCTTATTATTAAAAAAATCTCATTTTATCACATAAATTGCAGCTGTTGAACACATTTGGATCTCTGGTCGTCTCAATGTTACAAAGGACGTTAATTCCGAGTTAGTGACATACGCCTGGCATAATCCGATAAACAAGAAAAAAATCCCCAACCCAAAAAGTGACGGCGAGTCAACATATGGATTGTATGTAAGTATTTTTTTAAGTTAATGTTTTTGATCGCTGAACACCGTGAGTAAAACAAATATTACCATAAAGTAAAGGATAGAATAATATATTATAAGGAAAGGAAGATTAATAGTGCAGTGGCGGGGAATATCCGCTACTTCATAACATCTGTAGGTGCCCTGTAAGGGGTGATATAGAGATAGCTGAATAAGGATTTGGGCAGCAGCAACTTCCTTACCAACCTGTTTGCCGGCGTGGCAATTATGGCAAATATCCCCCCAATAAGGAAATCTGTGGGAGAGGCCCATGGTCAGCAATGGAATTTTCATAGGCTCTAATACAGTAAAGGCTAGATAATTCTTCATTTGATGATGTCATCCGTTAGCTAGTCTCCACAGATAAAAGATATATAGAGAATAAAGAGAATTAGACAAAATAGATATATAGAGAATAAAATTCAAAAATGCAAATAAAATAGCAGCTTAATGCTGCTGTGTTTTGATTGGTAAATGCAGAGAACTGGAGACACTTTTTACTGGAAAAGAGCCATTCCATCTTAGTCCTTACGGCTGACAACTTATCTGTATTTTATTCGCAAACTAGGATAGATGTAGATGTCTATAGGCTACAGCAACCACTTACCATCAGGTGGACTGTGTGCTCGTTTGTCACCCCAATTCTAAAAAAAACTTTCTACATGGTATTTACGTGGTAGAGCCATGCTGCAGCTGTATCATGGCTACATACAGCACAAACAGGTCAGCTTGACTGGTGTAGGACCACGCTCTTACAGAGCACCTGTATGCAATTGCTATTTACCAGCTTAACACTTAAAGCTGCTGCCTTTCATATAGTGAGTATAGAAACTGGAGACTTATTCACTGGAAATGAGGCGTTCCACCTTTATTACTCAGAGGTGACAATGAATCTGCATTTTGATTATGAATCAAGAACAGATGTATGTTATATGCCTATGGGTCACAGTATCCACTTACAATAAAATGGACTCTGTCTTTGTTTGTCACCGTTATTCTATAAAAAGAATATTGGTCACACTGATTATAAACCCGTTCTTAGTTTGCGTGAGCAATAGATGTAAAATGGTTCACCAACCTGGGGTTTGATCGATGGAATTACATTCTTTTGGCACCCTCTGACCATTATGACTGCATAGAATAATCTACATCACATCTCGTCATGTATATTGGAAAAGAAAAAACCTCCAATAGAACCAATAATAAAATAAATATTTCTTTTAATAATTCCACCAGATGCCGCCCTGGTTGGATGAAGAATTTACAATGGACAACCCCTGCTTGAATCTCGACCGGCAGGATCATTTGAATGGTCTGGTGTATGGGATGTCTTGTGATACTCCACAGTACTCCATTTGCATGATTGGTAAGAAATAGTTGTTATATTCATACATTATCCATTTTTAAAAGTAGAGACTGGTTCGTTTTGGATTGGAAGTTAACTAAGTTTGGCCTTTATAATACCAAGGGCTCTTTTGAGAATGTCAAAAATGTCTCCACTATATGGAAATAAGTTGTATGTGTGTGGGTGTCGTGCGACGGAAGGAAACAGGAGACGGGTACTGATGACTATTCAAAATAATAAAAAACTGCAGTGGCCATTCCGCCTGCCAAGCGTGCCAACTATGGCAAATATGCTCCCTATGAGGCAATCTATGGAGGAGGTCTATGTTCTGCGTACTTTGATAGGCTGTAGTAATGATGATAATGACGATGATGATGTGATATGAAATCACAAATGAATTGCTGTGTCAACGATTCAAAGCCAAGACTCAAAACTCAGTAGGTAGGTACTTAAGCCTATAACCAGCCATAAGTATATAAAAATTTAACACAAGCTCATTTATAAAAACAAACTTATTATTTGTTGCAGAAAAGTCTACTTCAAAGCCCACATCAATGGAAAATTTAGTTGAAGCAAGTGACACAACATGAGGGACTATAATAATAAATTATGATTAGTTATTATTTATTTATTATTACTAATTTAGTAGCTTTAATATTAAAATAAATTTGCTATGTATAGAATAAATTATCGTGTATAATACTAAGATGTTTTTAAAGTATAGATACGTCATACTCGCTCTAAAATGGCAATACGAAAGTAAGGTAATTGCCAGACTCGCATTCAGTCGGGCACGCTCTCGCGTCGCGGCTATACCTTCGTTACAGCGCCTAAATCTTCTAGTTATTCGTGGTAAAAATGCCTTCCTGTGTTTTAAGGTGGTGCACAAATTACACGGCAACTGTTGCAGACAAGAAAAACGTCTTTTTTCATAACGGTTTTTTTTCATAATTGGTTTTATTATTTCAACACGTAACCGCTAGTGTAAACTTTAACGCTAGCTAGTGTGTTAATTTTCATATCGGTATGTCACGCGCTCGCACCAATGAGCGCTCAGCAGCAATCAATACGCAACTAATGATGTATATTCATTTTTTCTAACGATAGGTATGCCGTATCATTTGTCTCTTTTTGTTAGCGCTACGTGTCATAATAAAAAACTGTACTATCTATCTTGTCCTGTCTATCTTTTTTAATACGTCTTTGGTATAATATAGTAAAATATGTGTTATCAGTGTAAAAATATTGTAATAAATTTTTACCAGATATTTTTATTTATTATAAGTATAGCCAGCCTTAGTATATCACAATTTTGGGGTGGTATCCATTGGCACATAACAGGGAGTAAGTCTTCCGGATGGACTGTGTAGCTCAGGAGATGTTGTTTAACCAACCCACAATTCTAGTGTGAGCTTGGAAATAATTTCAAAAATCAACATATTAAAATTCAAGTGGTTCATTTTATAATGATTTCTAATACTTATACGAACACTACACATTGAATAAAACTACTTTTACGGATTTAATCGTGTTTAATTAACTTACTTTATATTCCCGACGTTTCGGTTGCTTTCCAGCAACCATGGTCACGGGGGACTGAGGTGATTGACATCCCAACGTCAGAGTTAACCCGGAGTACCTTCAGCTTTTATAATTTATTAATAATTACGTAGATGGGACCAAAACTCGAATGGGATGGGATCAAAAACGACATCATAACAATTTAGATAAGTAGAATAGTACTCACATAGCAATAATTATCAAACTACCAATAAATTGTAATGCTATATTAGCTTTAATAAATAACTATACAAATATTGCATTTTATTTTAACATTTAACTAAACTATTTTCTATTATTACATAAGCTTATGAGACGTATAAGGCGGCGTAATAATCAGATCAAAGTCCGTTCCAACCATATAATTAAGGGATATAACAAAATAACAAACTTCAAAGGAAAACCAGTTACACCACATAAAAAATAGTTCACCGCTTCATTGTACTTATCATTTCTATCCACTGAGTATTAACTTTACTGAGCTGTTTGCAATTTTCATTCACAGCGATTAAGTTTTTTCTAAAAGCTCTTAGATGGTCCAAATATGCGCGAAGGCTTACATTCATCGCACGGACAGACTCTACTTCCTGTAGTAAATCAGAGGTCAACTTCTGCAATTAAATAAAATTCTAATAAACTAGCTGACACCATTGATAAATGTTTAATTATTAAGTATTCAAAAAAGTTTAAATAAAAAAATTGTACCTCGCGCTTAGAAGACGTTACTGACACATTGGACATATTTGTGTTTATAAAAGCAAAAATGTGAAAAATTTAAATTATCTATTGCTGTGGGATATAGGTACACGTTGAATAAAATAAATATAATTATATATTATATTTAAACAATCACTAACGAACGTTATTCTCCATTGAAAACTTTTAAAAGTTGCTGTCACAGTCATTGTCATAGTCACCCGATTATATTCGCTTATCTATGGTTGTAGGCTTGGGCAAAAAAGAACCAAATATAGACATATCGATATTTTCTTATCGATATATATAGTCATTATTTTTAATAGTGATATAGCGATATTTATTTTAGAGTATCGAATTCGTATCAATTTCTATATATTTTAAAATGTATATAATGGGCAAAATATGAAACAACAAAAAAAAACGACAAAAGCATTCATGTGTAGTTGTCGTTTTTTTTCTTCCTACAATCGTCGGTGATGTTAAATTTTGGGCCTTGGAATAATGCCCATAAATCGACATTTTCAATGTTGTCTTGTTGCTACGATTTGTCAACTAAGGCAGGCAAAGGTCTCTAAGACTATACTGCCTAGTGCACTTCTTAGTAAAAAGTTCTTATTAGTTTGTGTGTAGTCATGTCATTTACATGGTGATTCGTCATAATATTGCAAAGTTTTGTCAGATAAGGAAACATTTTTACCATAGACCAAATAGAGGTGACTGTGTGTTCCGTATTCACTTGTGCAGTGAATACAGACGGAAAAGTGCGAGAGTTTACCTCTTTCTAGGGAATGGTCACTATTGTGAGGCACATTTACAATAAGTTACGATAATCGCAATCACATCTTTGTGAATTAAAAAAGTAGACTTAGTTTTTTTTTTATAGAAGAGGGGACAAACGAGCATGCGGCTCACCTGATGGTAAGTGACTACCGCCGCCCATGAACAACCGCAACACCAGGGGAATTGCAGATGCGTTGCCGGCCTTTTAGAAAGGTGTAAGCTCTTTTCTTGAAGGTCCCTAAGTCGCATCGGTCCGGGAAAATCGCCGATGGTAAACAATTCCATAGAGAAGTTGTACGAGGAAGAAAACTCCTAGTAAAACGCACAGTCGTGGACCGCCAAGCATCCAGATGGTGAGGATGGTATCGTGAATTTTGACGCGATGTGCGTTCGTGATATTTGGCGGCTGGAATTAATCCGAACAATTCCTCAGAGCACTCCCTGTGGTAAATTCTATAGAAAATGCAAAGGGGTGCAACATCCCTACGCAGTGTCGGTGTATCGAACCGATCAGAAAGAACTCGGTCGTCGATGATTCGAACCGCTCTGCGCTGGATGCGGTCAAGTGGAAGCCTGTACGCCTTGGGAGTAGTTGTACCGGAAAAGATGCGTTAAAACCGGTGCCTACTCCGGAGCACACGTCTTCGGCATAATTGGGGGGATTCCGTCAGGCCCACTCGACTTGCTGGCGTCCAGGGAGAAAAGTGCTTTACGAACCGAGCGATGTGTAAATCGCACATCCGGCATGGAGCACTCACATCGCGAGATGGTCGGCGGTGTGTTCCCCCCGTCATCTAGAGTCGAGTTGGACGCAAAGAGAGAGCTTAAAAGATCGACTTTCTCCTTTGCAACATGGGCCAGTGAGCCGTCTCCTCTATGCAGAGATGGAAGAGATGGCTGACAGAAGTTGCTTTGGACAGCCTTGGCGAGAGACCAGAATGCATGGGTTCCCGAAGGAAGGCGAACTAGCTTCTCACCAATTCTGCCGATGTGCTCAGACCTTGCCTAGGCAATGACGCTTTTGAAGGACCTGGAGGCGGAATTATACATCTTTTTTAGAGCGCTGGTGTTTACATCCCGAGACGTAAATGCGTCATTCCAGGCCCGGTAGCACTCCTGCTTATAGCATGATGCTATTTTACAGGAACGACCAAACCATGGCTGGGATCTGCCTCCGATGGTCACCTCAGAGGATGGAATAAAAAGTTCCATACCCTGAAGTACCACATCAGCAACAGAATCGGCAACAACGCTGGGATCTTCCGGCGAGAAGCAAACCCGCCCCCAAGGGTTGGATGCAAAAAAATACCTCATCCCGTCCCAATCGGCCGACCTATAGTGCCAAACACGGCGACAAGCTGCAGATCGCAACTGCGATGGGAGCGTGAGTGGCACCGTGCTCCGGATCAGACAATTGTCCGAAGAGCCCAGAGGGGCATCGATGGAGACCTGATATAAAAGCTTTTAAAAAAATTTACTTCGCAAACATCCGCGCTTTAAAATAAAATAATGTGTCTTACCTAGTATTAAAAGCACCTCCCGCCTGATATCCGTCCGGATGAGTGGTCAGCAGAACGTCCAACAGGGAAGGTACATGAACCTCCACATCTGGGATCCGTGTAGGCGAAGTAACCAGTTGTGTTAGACCATATGCCAAGGCAAAGTCATTGACAGCCATTGAATTGAAAAAATTGAAGAACCAAACCATTCAGCATGTTGGGCGTTAAAAGTACCGAGTATCACGATCTCTGCGGATGGGCCCTGTTGTAGCACGGAGCCTGCAGTCATTTGGACGTAGTCGATGAGTCGGTCTGTTTCGGCATTACCACTATGGGATCTATAGAGGCACCTGTAGATGCGGGGATGGTCGTCGCTGCCTACACGCAGCCATAGGATGGACAGGTCCGTACCTTCAAGACTACCGAGGCGTCGATAACAGATGTCCTCTCTGACGTATACGCAAACTCCAGCCCGGGGCACAAAGGAGTGTTCTAATTTGTACCCCGGGTAGGAGAGATATGAAATATCAGCCGGAGAGGACACCTGATTCTCGGTTAAAAAGAGCAAGAACGGCTTCGCCGTCTCTAGAATAGAATAGAATAGAATAGAATAAGTCATTTATTGTGCTAGTTGTAGGTTTAAGAGATTTAACACTATAAAAGTAATTAAGTATCACCACAACCTGCCTAGATAAGGCTTACAATATTATTAAAATCATGGAACTTAAAACATTATCTCATTATTTATTAAATCAAATCAAATAACACGGATAATAAAGCATAATGTAATACAATGAAATATTTCAACAAACGTGGATAATAAATAATAATGTCAAAAGTACAATGGAATTATGCCAGTATAAGCTAAGTCTATGAATGGAATATTGATATGTCAAAATACATGTAAGCTTATAACTTAAACGTAGTGATTTTAATATTCTTTGCTTAAAACATAATTCAGAAAATATTTCAAATGTCAATTAATTTAGAATGTAAGTTTGTAGCTCAAATAATCTTTTAAGGAGTACAAACATCTTTCAGTCAATAATTCTAATAATTTATTCTTAAATTTTTTTATTTCTAAATCTTTTAATTTGTCAGGTAAATATTTATATATTTTTGGTCCTAATGCATAAAAACTTTTTGAGAAAAAGGCTGTCCTAGATGTGTGAAACGGTATAATAGTAACATTATTCTTTGTTTGCCTCGGGTGCTTAGCAATGTGCGAGTTAAAATAATGTAAATTACTTTTGACGAATAAGCAGGCTTGGTATATGTATAATGAGGGCAGATTTAGGATTCTTAATTTTACAAACAGAGGTCTGCAACTGTCTGTTTGTTTGGCACCAAACATTGCTCTGAGACACTTTTTTTGCATACTAAACAATGGCAACAGGTTAACATCAGCCGCGCCTCCCCAATGTATGATACCATATCTTAAGTTGGTGGCAACGTATCCATGATAAGCAGTAAGTGCAGCTTTTTGTGAGACAGTTTGTGTTAATTTTCTTAGAGGATAAACAAATTTACTAATTTTACTTGTAAGATATTCGGTATGCGGTTTACACATTCATCAACCAACACACCAAGGAAACGTATTTGTTTTACTCGCTCAATTAAATGCCCCTCATACTTAACAATAACAGTCTCTTGTTTCCGGTTTTGGGGAAGATAAAACTGCATATATTTTGTCTTATCTAGGTTTATGACGAGATCATTAGCTTTCATCCAATTGATAATATCGGACAAAGCTTCAGCAATAATACATTCGTATGGTTTATTGCTGTTATTTTTTATCATAACAGTAGAATCATCTGCGAAAAGGATCATTTCATGCTGCACATGTCTAGGTAGGTCATTGATATACAATAGAAAAGGAAGCGGCCCAAGTATACTTCCTTGGGGTACACCACACTTTACAAGCTGCGACTGAGATCGTACCTGCACTTCAGATCGATTTTTCTCATTAACATAAGAGATTTCTGTGCGTTGAAATTGGTTATTTAAATATGACGATACAAGACCAAATATAGGTCCTCTGATACCATACATATATAACTTTTGCAGAAGCTTTTCATGATTTATGTAAATTTTGCTTTTACACCCACGGCAGTTATGAATGATATTATCGATACACGTTCCACTTTGTAATCTAGTCGCATCCATGAATTCAATTTTAAAGTTATGACTCGACAAAAGATTAATAAATACATTAGTTGTCATGCAATTTTTTAAAACATCAATATTAAAATCACCACATATTATAGTTTTCTTAGTTCTATATTTGCTAACCCTATCCAACAAAGTTTCAAGTTTTTCGAAAAAGATAGAGATATTACCATAATTAGGAGTTCTGTATAAACAAATAATTATAACATTAAAAGACACAAGTTAAATAGCACAACATTCAAATACGGTACTGAGAGAGTTTCTTGTAATTTCAGTTAATTCTCGGTAATTAAGTCCTCTTCGAGTCATTATACATGCACCTCCTCTTGCATTTTTTCTGCAGTATATGGCAGCTAGATTGTAGTTATTGCATACTAAATTGGTTTCATGTCCATTCTTTACAAAATGTTTAGTTAGACAAATAACGTCATTACAGTTTCCTTCACTTGAAAAATCTCAATATTATCCATTTTACCTAGCGCACTACATATGTTTTGATGCATTATATATAGAAATTTACTTTTCTTGTTTTCGAAAAAAGTCATCATTTGATAATTTTACATCCGAAACGATTTCACTAACACCTTGCTGAAC